TGCTCCTTTTCCCTTATGGGGTACCTAAGAGCTAATATATAGAGTCCTTTTGTAGGCTCTCTTTCGGTAGGAGAAAAATAACAGGCAAACCAGAGAATATTGAGAAACAAAGCAGCTAGTAAGCCTGATCTTTATTAACTCTTGCAACAGGGTGCTCACAACCACAACAGGCTGACCCTATCGATATCTTAAATGAGCCCTTAAGGCAGGATTTGTGAGAAAAGAGACAATAGGGAGGTTTTTTCCCATTTCCTCCCTCCTTGCAGAGAAATATTTCACTTGGAAAATTTCACCAATGAAAGTCCTTTTTGGAAAAAAGCAAACATTTAATGAAATGTAAAAAAAGAAGAAGTAAAATTTAATGAACTGAACTTTGAAACAAAGTTGTGCCAGGAAGTTCAACAGACATGGATCAAGGGGTAAATCTGTATAAAACATCCTGTACTGTGCTGAGTTTAAGTTGCTGGTTTTGGGACTGACTTCAAAATTTCCTTGCCATTTTCTAGCACCACTTGGGGGCATGACTGAGCCCATAACCTTTGTTAGCTATTTGTGATAATAAAAAAGTGGGACACAAGGAAAGAGGCATAGAGTCTTTGCATGCTTAAAATTTCAGGGCAGTTTTCTAGCATTTCTGCTTAAAGGGTCACAGGCCAAGATAGAAATATCTGCCCATCCTTAGCCTGGAGAAGAGATATGAGAGCCACCTAGAAATATCCCATGGAAGAGGGAGCAAGCTTGTTGTTCTCCTGCTCTGTGGGGTACAACCTGAACCTGTTGTGTTTGCTGTGATTTTCCATACTGATTTTTTTGGGAAATAGCCCTTCCAATTACACTTCTTCCATTCTTTTTCCAAGGAAAGTTCCAGAGGTTTGATAGCTTTCCTCTCTGAATTCACTCCAAGTTGTGCGCAGACTCCTTTTTCTCTTCATCCATGGCATGTGTAGGCAAACTAAGGCCCAGGAGCCGGCGCCGGCTCAATCACGTTCTAATCCGGCCCACGGATGGTCCTGGAATCAGCGTGTTTTTACATGAGTAGAATGTGTCCTTTTATTTAACATGCATCTCTGGGTTATTTATGGGGCATAGGAATTCGTTCATTATTATTATTTTTTTCAAAATATAGTCTGCCCCCCCCAAGGTTTAGAGGGTCAGTGGACTGGCCCTCTGCTGAAAAAGATTGCCGACCCCTGATCCATGACTTATTCCACTCCTCCAACATCACAACTCCACCATCTGACTGTTTCAATCCTCCAGACACCTTTTCTGAAGGACTTCCTCATTACACCATCTGTTGCCTCCAGCTCCACCATTTCATCCTTCTGTTCTGGCAATCCTTCATTCATATTGTTCTCCAAAGTATCTTTGTCCTCTTTAATTCCACTTTCCATTTCATTCTTCTGTTTTGTTAGCTTTTGGGTGGTTGCTTATAAGCCCATCTCTGCTGTTTCTCTATGTTACTACACACACACACACACACAGAGAGAGAGAGAGAGAGAGAGAGAGAGAGAGAGAACGATGCGAGAAGTGAGGTTACAGGAAACCAGGCAGAGGGCCTTCTCGGTAGTGGTCCCTGTGGAATACCCTCCCATCAGTTGTCAAGGAAATAAACAACTATCCAACTTTTAGAAGAAATCTGAAGGCAGCCCTGAAACACAGCCAGATGGGCGGGGTAGAAATATTAAATTATTATTTTTTCCTCGGGGGATGCAGAGGTATGCATACTCCTAAACATTTTCTAATTCTTTGTACTTTTGCCCATTTACTGTATTGATTTTTCCCAATTTTCTTGAGTCAAAATGAGAGTACCCCTAAACATTTTTATTTTATTTTTTAGAAAATAAGCACTGGTTATTTTGTTCCGTATGGGACGTGGGTGGCACTGTGGGTTAAACCACAGAGCCTAGGACTTGCCGATCAGAAGGTCAGCGGTTCGAATCCCTGTGACGGGGTGAGCTCCTGTTGCTCGGTCCCAGCTCCTGCCAGCCTAGCAGTTCAAAGCACATCAAATTGCAAGTAGATAAGTAGCTACTGCTCAGGAAGGTAAATGGCGTTTCCGTGCGCTGCTCTGGTTCGCCAGAAGTGGCTTAGTCCTGATGGCCACATAACCCAGAAGCTGTACGCCGGCTTCCTCGGCCAATAAAACGAGATGAGCGCAGCAACCCCAGAGTCGGTCACGACTGGACCTAATGGTCAGGGGCCCCTTTACTCTTTACTATTTTGCTCAGTGTTCTTCCATCCCTCCATTATTCTAGGGTCTGCTACATTTTAAAGCCACAGTTATCTCAGCTTTCCTCCATCTCCATTTTACTCAAACTTCTGCCATTGAAGGAAAGGAGAGTGGGAGTCAGGGGAACATCTGTTTTAAACTTCTCCCGTTCTTTAACTGTGATAAAGGATGTGAAGCCTTCAAATATTCCATAGTGCCTCCACACAATGTATTTCACTCCTGATAGCTTGTGTGGTCCTCAACATGAAGTTCTGGGTTCAATGTAGTGATTTAGAAGAGATATTTTTTATTTTTTTTATTTTTAAAATAATATTTATTAAAGTTTCAAAAAAGAATTACAAAAAACAAACAAACAAAAACAAAAAAGAAAAAGATAATTCATTCATTACATTCCAGATTTTCAGTAACTTCTTTCCAGACCTTCCCCTCACCTCCCCTTCTTGTATTCCATGTCCAAGATAATTATCCAACAAGTTCTTAACCCTAAATTTTTAACCTTAATTTGTTATTATATTTAATTCAATTTATATATCAACTTTTAGCTCATAAACATCAATCATTTATACTTAAAATTTTTCCTAAGGTCGGCCCAATTCCCCTTCCACGAATTCCCCATCTTTATACTAATAACAACAAAAAATTAAAAAGAAAAATATAAAAGAAAGATTCAGACACCCTTTGGATTTCCAAACCCCACCCTCCCTTCCCCGGTTTCGATCCCCAAGCCAAAATCCATTAATCCCTCTACTATCAGCCTGGCAACCTCACGTCCGAGGCTCTCAAATCTCCCTCAGTCCCTCTCTGCCGGTTTCTTTGGACTTCCGGGTTGGCGCCATCACCAAATGGCGGATTCCCTCCGAGTTCTGGAGGGAATCTGCTTGGCAGGGGTCGGGTTCTGCCGCGCCGGCGACACGGGGACCCTCAAAAACCACGGGCGCGGATGCCCGTGGACCTGGTGACTCGGCGGGCACCGTTTGCGCCCTCCCGACCGGCGAAGGAGCCTTTTTAAAGGCTGCGGAGCGGGGGACGGGGAGTGGCGCGGTGCTGTGAGTCTTCTGCTTCCCCTGCCGAGCGAAGCCGCATGCCATTCGATGGAGAGCGCTGACTACTTCTTCTAAAAAATTGGACTAACTAGAAACAAGAACCCGTGAGTAATTGGGAAATTGGACTAAAAATCTTTTTTGGATTCGGTACGAGCGGGGGAGGTGCAAAGAGGAAGTCCGCCTCCCCCTAATTGTAAACAATTTAAAGCAAGGATTTGACAACTAAGGTCGAGTGAAGAGCCTTTCTTTATTGGAGAAAAATCATTAATTGCACGGATTGATAGTATAAGTAATTGTGCTGGAGGATGAGCTAACTTTTTGAGTGAAATTGCCACCCCCCCGGGACCGGGAGTGATCCGTGAGAGGAGCCTGCTGAGGAGATACAGAAGATTTTGACAGCTGTCAGATTAGCTGTCAAAGTCGGAAAAATAGAGAACTTTATTTCTGATGCTTTTGCTGGTTAAAATAGACACAATATAATTACAAGTTGCTGAAAATAAGAAGGATTGAAACAAACTAACTTGACTTTTGGGCTGGAAAGTGAAAGGAATATTGAACAATCAGAATCCCTCTAGAGGGGGTTCAGAGACATTGCAAGAATGGAAATAGGTCGGAAAATACTAGCTGACCTGGACGAGGTTGCTTTTCTCATGAGAAAGTTGCAAAAGTTGTATGAGCAAGGTCATGTTTTGTCTACAAGTGATGTAACTTTGAAGTCAATAGCAATTGTATCCACTGAGTTGGAAAAGGATTTGAGCTACAAAACCCAGGCAGCTGAACAAGAAAATGAACAAGAGGAACAGGAAGGAGGGGCTGCAGAACAGCAGAAGGTAAAGGAGAGCCGGAGGCCTGCCAACATGGATGAAAATAAAGATTGGAAGAGGAAAATTTGGTCTGAATTTAAAAAGGAGGAATGGAAAGATCTCCTTTTGTGGGGATCTGAAGATCTATGGACCATAAATTTGAACAAGGTGGAAGTTGGAGCTTTTGGACTATTTGGACCTAAAACGATTAAAGAACAAGATTTTAGCTCCAACTCTAAACAGGGAGGTCCGGCTGGAAAGAATATGGACATTATAGGGATAGTGCCCCTCCGAGAACTGGTGTTAAATACAAAGGACTTCCATAGAAGAGATATTTTATTAACAAGCACACATGTACAGTATCCATCAAAGAAACTTAGTCTTCTTCAACTGGAGAAGCTGACAGTCTTGCTCTTAGGAGTCTACTCATCTTAAAGATACAATAACATTTCTCAGCATGGGGAGTGGTGTTGTAAGGAGGCAGGAGAAGAGGGAGAGTGGAGGAGATGTGGGAATGTGTGTGTTAGGGAGATTTGATAAAAGTAAGGGGGAGGGGAGGAAAAAAGGGAGCAAGAGTAAGAATGGGGATGCAAAGGAAGTTGTCAAAAAGGAGGGAGTAAGGAGGCATTGGGAGAGGGATGAAGATTAAAGCAGGGGCATGAAAGGACCTGAAGAAATGGAGAAGATGGGGTGAAGGGGGAAATGGATGCAAAGCAGAGGTGTAGAAAATAAGAGAGAACTGGCTTCAGAAATGGAGCTGGAAGGTGAAAAGAGACCTCAGTAGTTGCATGGGATGAGATGGGAAGGGAAGGGGAAATGCTAGGGGGTTCATGTGTCAGGAGTGGCCAAGGGGTCACCGAGTGCAGGAAGCAGGGGTGCAGCCCCTAATATTTTCCTATCTTCTTATGTGTTGCAGCGGGGAACTGCACAGAGTTTATAAGGATGGGGATGTATTGTAACCCCTATTATAGCCTCTTGATTGAGTTCTTTGACTCCTTCTGGCAGCTGAAAACTGAATGCCCTCAGCAGGCTGGTCAGGAAGATGAATATTTCGATCTTTACCAGCTGCATTCCCAAACAAATGCGAGCCCCTGAAGAGGAGATATGAAGAAGGCAGTAAGTGAGCAATAATTTACTTTCCAGTGTTCATTGCTTTGTTGCTGTAAACATTCCATATAACCCTTTGGGAAACTAGAAATAGTTAGGCTAGGGAAAACATCAAAGCTGCTGTCAATTTCCTAGCCTGGTCAGTGCTAACCTTTCTTTCTTTCTTCTTATTATACTTATGTTTTGTTCTGTAATTTGAAGTTCCCTATCTCATATCAAGGAAGATACAATGAGGAAGGGAATGGAATACAGATGAAGGGCCTGTCAGGAGCTCGTCCTACACTCGAGTAGGACCATGGCAGAGACACATGCCCGACTGGCATGTTCTCTCCCTCTTGGTCGTTCGTTCGGGAGCTTCAAAAGCTTTCTTCAGCCTGAACATCATAGCAGACATCGGTACACTTAGGGATCTGCAGAGTCTTCGCAGCTTGCGTAACAGGCCTCAGCAACTCAGCATTTGGCTAATCTATGTTTATTCACATATAAACACACACGGAGCACTGCAACTTGGCTCCCTCTCTCTCTAGCATCAGACAGCAAGGAGAATGAACAAAGGACAATAGTCCCACTTCACAGAACACAGTAACACAAACATCCTTTCTCCGTCACTTCCCACTCTGGAGTCAAAACATACACCGTCATGTGAAAGACAACAATCCCATGACTGCAATCATGGATCAGGAATTCTAACATCCTCCCCCAATTCATGCACTGTGTTGCAGTCATCAGTGTAACTGCAGCAACCATACAGATGTCATACACACAGTATACCCCTGTATCACCTGTTCCACCCTTGGAACAACCTGCAACTGGATTGGCCTTGGCCCTTACCATCTTGCACTTCTGACTATCAGGAAGTCTCACACCTGGCTTTGTTGGGACTAGAACCCTAGCCACGTTCCTCTCTGAGGAATCAGTGTTGGCACACACGGCCTCTGGACGTGGTCCAGCTTCCTTCTCCAAGGAAACAGTGTCTACCCTTACAGCCTTTGGGCGTGGTTTCCCGTCCCTTGAGGACAAACCTTGTGCCCCTTTCAAGACTACAGATTCCTAGACCTGCGTCGAGCCACTAACCACAGCTAAATCTGCAACAGCTGTGTTAGCAAACTCCTGAGCATACCTGGTGGGCATCAGACGGCTATAAATCAAGCCTTCTTCTGCCGGCCTTAATTGCCTGGCAAGAACTTCAAAGCCTCTTGCCTTCTTCTGTGCACGAGCCGCTGGCTTTGGCACAAAACAGTCCGGCCTGCCTTTACTTTCATTTTCAAGCACAGGCTTTATTCACAGTCTGTCTCCTCACAGCTTTTTTCCCTTCCATCTCTGAAGAGGCTTGCCTCACACTGCCAGTTCCAGGAGATTCCAACCGAGATAAAAGCAGACCCCGGTTCTTCCTCTGCTGGCACTGGGTCTGTGGCCCCGATACCTGGGCCCATAACTGTTGTCAGGACAATAATCCCATGACTGCAATCCCGGAGCAGGAATTCTAACAGGACCCTGTGTGAGGGGAAGGGCAGAGAGGATTGCCCAGGGCTAGAAGCTGGGGCAAGAGGGTCTAGCTCCTAAGTGAGAACTGGGAGGACTCACTTTTCTGTGTGCTGAATAAGGGTGAAGATTTACTCTTGATAGAGGACTTTGTAATATCCTTTTCTTCTTTTCTTTCTTTACTTCCATTCGACATCTTTTTTCTATTTTCCCTTTTAGTTTAGTATGATTTTTATTGTGACTTACGTATAAAATTTCAATAAAACTTGATTTTAAAAAATGAAAGGAAAACATTGGTCAACTGCCCAAATCAGCAATGCATAAAGGTGTTAAGACCATGGAGTAACCTGTCCTGCCAGGTTTACTTCAGACCTATTGTTCTCCCTCAGGCCAACTGAGAAGCTCACTGGGTAGAGAGGTCAGATGTAGTTACTCCAAGCTCAGACCACATGGTTCTTACAAGACACTCTCATGTTCCTATACCAATTATTTAGCTTTTACCACTGTTTGTAACTAAGCCAAGTTTTACTACCTGTGCGATGCTTTCTGACACTTCAGGTGATTTACAAGAATTGCATACTTTAGAAGAAGAAGAGTTTGGATTTGATATCCCGCTTTATCACTACCCGAAGGAGTCTCAAAGCGGCTAACATTCTCTTTTCCCTTCCTCCCCCACAACAAACACTCTGTGAGGTGAGTGGGGCTGAGAGACTTCAAAGAAGTGTGACTAGAAAGGTGACAATCCACACACAGAGAGAGATAATCATACAGTTGGAAGAGATCCCAAGGGTCTTTGAGCTCTATGCCCTGAAATGCAGGGATCTTTTGCCCAACGTGGCACTCAAACCCATGACCCTGAGGTTAAGAGTCTCCTGCTCTACCGACTGAGCCATCTCGTACTCTGGTCTGCTTTGTTATGTGAAGTGTTATTGAGTACAGTGGTGCCCCGCAAGACGAATGCCTCGCAAGACGAAAAACTCGCTGGACAAAAGGGTTTTCCGTTTTTTGAGTCGTTCCGCAAGACAAATTTCCCTATGGGCTTGCTTCGCAAGACGAAACGTCTTGCGAGTTCTTGCGAGTTTGTTTCCTTTTTCTTAAAGCCGCTAAGCCGTTAATAGCCGCTAAGCCGCTATGCCGCTAATAGCCGGTAAGCCGCTATGCCGCTAATAGCCGTGCTTCGCAAGACGAAAAAACCGCAAGATGAAGAGACTTGCGGAACGGATTAATTTCGTCTTGCGAGGCACCACTGTACTCAAAAAGAACTGGGTACTGTCAGAAATTATCTAGGTAAATGTTTTATCTGTGTTAGCAACAGTTCTTTTGGAGTTGGAAGTATGTCTACAATAGTGTCGTGCAATTCATTTTTAACAGGCATTTTGTAAGCTCTCTGTTAGAGTTGCTTTTTAGCCCAATGTTTTTGTCACACCTCTCATAAGCATGCTTCAAACAAGTGGCATGGAAGATACTGTGAAAGTATAATGTAAAGTTTTCATTGTGGAACAAATCAGTATGGTATTTTTGTATGCTTCATTTAGACCTATCTGTGTATTGTTTTACCATTAATTACATTAAAAAAACTGTCAACTTCCATCATAATGTCATTTTCTTTGATGAAACCTTTTATTAAGAAATAATAAATTAAATATTGTATTTTCTGTGAAAGAATTCAATACAAGGTGAAGTGTGTGAGGAATTGAACCGGGCGCGCATGGAGGAGAGGAGGAAAGAAGAGCTAATTTGTCTGTGGCTAGGGTGCGTAATCTGGACAGTTCTGTCAGGGGCACAAGATCACCTAGCTATGGCTCTGGCCCCAAGCCACCAACCCTTAACTTGCCACTGCCATGCCCCATTCTGCTGACCAGCACTGCCACTCCAGCCAGAAAGACGCTGCTACTGCTCTGGCCCACTCCCTCATGTGCTGCTGCTGATGTCATTTTCTGGAAGCAGACCAGTAAGCACATCTACAGATAACAACATAGCTTGGTCTTCTGCATTTACCTGCACCAAATGGCAGATATTCTTCTCTGTTCACAAATTGTCCATCCTTGTCCAAGAAATGATTTGGGTTGAACTCTGCAGGTGTCTCCCATCGTGTTGGATCAAGAAGAACAGAGCGCAGATCGGGAACAATAATAGTCCCCTGCAAGTGATTTGAAAAAAGTGATTTGGAATGCATTCAGATCAACACATTTCTGGATTGTCCCACACTATCCCAAGACTAATCATTGCAGAGACCTGTGTGATTTATTATTATTTTTTGGGGGGGGGGTTGGTTTTGTATTCTTCACCTTCACAAAATTTTTGTACAGGCAGGAACACAAGAGGGCTTTCCGCCCCCTTTTTAAAAATGAAAGCTCACAACCAGGCTGAGACCTCTGGATACTTCAGGCTCCTCCCCTGCCACAATTGCCCCATGGAATGGCACTTGCCAATGGTGAAACATGTCTGCAGATGGAGCTCCTGCTCTTGCCCTTCAGATTTTTGACTAGACAGGAAGTTCCTGTATGCCTGGCAGCATCTCTCAATATGAAGCCTTCTGCTGCTCTTTGCTCTTGGGCTACAGGAGTGCAGCTGTATCACACTTTTATACCTTGGGAATGAGAAAACCATGCAGCTTGAAATCCTTTGTACATTGCCTAGGGAACCCCAAAAAACTGACGTATTTAAAGCGCTGCATTTCATGAATCACAGCATTGGTGTAGGGCAGTTTCTTCTTATCTTGATAGCAGATTGAGTGAGCAGAACCTATGACATCTTCTATTTCCTTGTGCATTTTATCTGAAGAGAATGATGGAAACAGAAGGTTTATTGTGAATATTGCATTTTATTTCAGATGGACATTTATCTCCCTTGAACATATTCCATAATCCTCTGTGAATGAGTCCAGGTTTCTTGCATTTTTAGGTCACCTGGTCCTCCAAAGAGCTCGTCTGTGTACATGATTCTTCCCCACTCTAGATCCCAGGTGTGAAAAGGATGAAAGTGAAGCTCATGGCAGTTGTTTCTGGTTACCAGAGCTGGCTGGATTTGATGAAGGGCTGAGATCAAAGGCTTCGTGTGTGTGTGTGTGTGTGTGTGTGTGTGTGTGTGTGTTCTAAATCCCCTGCCCTCAATATTTCCTACTTAGTTTCATTAATCCTCATTTCCTCATTTCCTCTTTGGCTAGCATCACTAATATAAAGGACCCCTGGATGGTTGGGTCCAATCAAAGGAGACTATGCGGTGCTTCGCTCATCTCGCTTTCAGGCCTCGGGAGCTGGCGTTTATCCACAGACAGCATTCCGGGTCATGTGGCCAGCATGACTAAACCACTTCTGGCACAACTGGACAGCATGATGAGTGCCAGAGCACACAGAAATGCTGATTACCTTCCCACCGCAGCACTACCTGTTTACTTACACTGGCATGCTTTCAAACTATTACTTTGGCAGAAGCTGGGACAGAGCAACGGGAGCTCACCTGTCATGCAGATTCGAACTGCCAACCTTAGTTTCACAATGGAGGCCCATCCACTGCACCAACCCTCTCCTATCCCAATTCCATTACACATTCAGACCCTCCATCTCTACCTGTCCCAGTAATCATAGACTTGAAATGTCCTGTGGGAAGAGGGCATTGTGGGCATTTTACATTTTTACTTCTGAAATTTATATATTACAGAAACTATGTAGGAAAATATTGGTGATCTTTCCAGACCTGAAAGTCATGAAACTGATCTTTCCAGACCTGAAAGTCATGAAAGTCAATAAAATTTGCCTTCCATAATTTCCATCATAAACTCACATTTAACTCTTTCCAATATGAATCCTTTAAAGAATTATGATCCACCCTAGTGATCAAGAGAAGCCCTGGCTCTCCTCTCTCACCTTGGACATCTGGATGACTTGTCAGGAGGAGAAGTGCCCATTTCAGAGAAGCCGTGGTTGTTTCTGACCCTGCTATGAAGAGCTCAGAAATACACCGAGCCAAGTTTTCTTCATCATAGGTGGACTCCGGGTCATTCTTGCTCTGGTGTTGAAAATGGGGGAAGTCATTTACACACATTACAGTTTGTCCTTCAGCACTTACTTTATTTTATTTCCCCCACTTATTACCATACCACCCACACATGCTTCATGAGGGGTGGGGTGTCCTCTTACACTGCCTGAGGTGAAATGGGAAGGTGTTGCCACCATCGCCGTACTGTTGCTGCCACCTGCCTAACTAGGTTGTACAGCAGTGCCCACAAAGTGGCAACAACAAAAGGGAGCTTGGTAAGATATTGAAAGATTTTGGTGAAATCTTGTCAGAAGCTGCCCCCTTTGCTTCTCCACTAGCAGCTGGCTAGGCAGCACATCCCCAGAGATGCCTCCTGTTGGCATTCCACTGCCCAAGGCAGCTCTCACAGCCTGCCTCATGAGTGGACCGGCCCTCCACTTCATAGCTGGTTATGGTAAAAAACCCACACACACTTTCTTGAATTTACAGCGGTAGCTGCTGGTGCTAGATTTCAGGATCTTTGGGTTGGCATAATAACCCAATACTGGCATGAAGAGAGGGATCCAACAGAAACTCTGGCAGCAGATATTCAAAAGGTGTGCTACATATTTCACTACCTAATGGTCACCACCATATAATAGTCGAGCTCCTTTTTTCAAATCAGTCCCAAAGCATTCACCACATAATGGTCACAGGGCATTCTAAGCATGCATGAGAATGCCTTGCCCCAATTCAGACTACCTATTATCCTTCCTGTGCCTGTTCACACATATTCTGAGCATCCTAATCACACCAAAAACAGTTAGTAACAAGTAATAAGCATTATAAACATAATTATGTTTCTTCATAAAGACTGTTTCCTCAATTAAGGGTCGTTCCTCTGTTTTTGACCAAATAATCGTTGCACCCCCCTTTTTAAAAAAGAATAATTGGCATAAAACTGTGACAATTAGGTGATGAAATATGGTACTTACCGCTAAACATATTTAACCATTCGTTTGTCATTATGATAAACATTGTTCACAGAAGGAAAGATGAATATATATTTGTCCTTTCTAGTATATTGGTTTATCATTATGATAAACATTGTTCAAGCAATAGAATAATAAGCAATAGAAACATAATTATGTTTGTTAATAAAAACTGTTTCCTCGCATAAGGGTCGTGCCTTTGTTTTTCACCAAATAATCGTCGCATAACTGGCATAAAAAGATGACAATTTTGTTGAAATATGGCACTTACCACTAAACATATTTAACCATTTGTTTGTCATTATGATAAACATTGTTCACAGAGGGAAAGATGAATATATATTTGTCCTTTCTAGTATATGAAGATAGATGAGACAGGGATTTGAAGTCATACTCTAGTTTATGAGCATTTTGTTTAGGATTTTCTATTTTTTTCAGTCCACATTTGAATGTCAGATGAACATCAATCCAAAGAAATTTATGTACAGAGGGAATGCTCCATAGGCAAGACCCCTTAACACACTTAGGTTTCCAATTCTTCCCACTCACATTTTTAACAATGGATGTCAACTCACTTTAGCAACTAAATTGACTATGAGAAATATTTGGGGGGAACTCAATGCCATTTTCAACTGAGATTCAGGAAAAAATATACTGGTTTCCAGGCAAGAGATTAGTATTACTTATAACAGGGAATATAATGATTCATTGGATGAGCAGTATTCAGCTTCAAAGCTGATACTTACTTTCTCTATCTGAAGCAGATAGAAATCAATGAAATCTTGTGGATCATGCAGAGACTGATTCTCCTTATGCTTCTCTATCTCCTCCTTTGCATATGAAATCATCATCTCTGAGCAGGACAAGGCCTTCTTGTGGGGCCCTGGGAGATGTTTCATGAGCCATGGGAGAATTTCATAAAGCTAAAGGAAAGATAGCAGAAATGCTGCCATTACCATGAGGAAGCTTGGTCACACTGTGCTTTGGATTAGCACTTTAAAAAACATGATCTGCATTATTCTTCAGGGCTACCATATTAATTTCTCACTAAGAAGGAAGGTGTCTATCGCTTTTCTGGAATCTCACAATGATGGGGTTCTGTGAATTATCCCTAGCTGAAAATGTAAAAGAAAACTATCTCTCAAAATATATTCCCAGCTCCCAGGCATCATTCCAAAACTGGGCACAATCAGGGGACCCCTCCTGGAACAAGTTAGTGGCCTTTTGTGGTAGGTGGGGGTGGGTGGAGAATAGGGTGCGGGAGGAATTCAAGTAAACTCGCATTTAAAACCAAATTTGCCTAATACACAAATGGAAAGAGAGCCATCATTCAAAATGTGCATTTCTCCAATTTATAATTTTATTTCTTAAATCCCCCTGTTCACCAGTCAAGTAATACTGATCTTTCATCTCAAAAAATTAAACCTTGAAGAAGGATGTTTTTCTTCCTTCCTTGTTTGTCTTCTTCCTTGTTTTTTCATTAATGATCAATTACTTACATTTTCTGAATATATAAGGAGCTAGAAAATAAAACTTGGACTAATATAAAACAGTGTTAGAAACTGAGATATGAAAGCTCCAAGCTAAATGGCACCTTAAACCTAGATTATGGGTGCAGCAATTGAATGTTTAATTGTGCCTATTTAATAAAAAGAATACAAAGCTGAAAATGAATGAACCACAGCTAAAATCTTATATTCATTTTTCACATGGTCTAGTCCTCATCTGAAGACTGCAGAAAACAAAGCCATGCTTCCCCTACCTGACCCCCTAATATTCTTAAGAGAGTCTCTTTTCCAGTCTTCAGAGAGAAGTTGGAAGTGAGGAGCCAAAATAAAGTCCTCCTTCCCTTCCATTCTGCAGTTTTAATCTAAAATCTTAGGCTTAGTACTGTACTCAGAGCTCAGAAACTGCTCACATTAATGAAATTCCTTGTTCCAAATGCACCTAGAACACTGATCTAAAGTTGCCTGTAGTTTCCCAGTCAAGTGGTGTGTACCAAAATGAAAAATGGGTTATACAGAAGGGAGCTGCTTTCCTTAGCAGTAGGGATAGTGCTTGAGTTGCTGGTCTCTCTTTCATTTAAAAATTTCCAGCCAAGGTGGTGGCTGCAGGGGCCTCACCCTGGACACCATCATCATTGACACTGCTAAGTGGGCAGAGAGTAGACACATTTAGTTTTCCATGATGGCAACAAAACTAAGTAATTCCCTTCTTGAGAAGATTATTTGGTTCCCCTCTCTTCACCTTAGTGGGCTCTTGATGACCTGTTCTGAAGGTCATTGTTCCATTTTTAACCAACTTTCTTCCAAAGAGTCTCCTGTGGTGGACAAAGTTTTCTTACTCATGTTTTTTATCTCAATGATTATCATGAGAAATTGCTCGGGCTGTGAGATTGTAAGTGGCCTTTATCTCAGATCAATTTAAACCTAATCTCACTTTTCCAACCTTCTATCCTCTATCATAATGGATTCCAAAATACTGATTTGTGGTATTAAGTCCCTGATTTGTGGTATTAAGGGACACCTGTTTGGCTTAGTAGGAACAAAAATGACTACTCGTGGGACTTCCAGTTGGTCGTGAAGCCGGGAGCAAGCGGGATTCAGCCCTTAGGGGAGAATCCAGCTTTTCAGAGGGGGGAAAGGGGGTATTGCAAGGGCCCCGCAAGCTCCCAAAAAGGCAGGTTCCCAGCAAGCCAAGAAGCGGTCTCTCCGCTGCCTGAAACGCTCCCTTTGGGAGCAGAAAGATCGGCAAGATCAAGACGCTGGCACGGGATGCCATTTTCTACTCTCGAGAAGCGCAGCCTCAAGCTTACCCGGCACAGCGATCGATTCTTAAAATATTAAAAATCCGGATTTAATTGGTGAAAAGTAGATAAAAATTAAAAGAATTAGAGCGATTCAGAAGCAGCGGGGTGGAAAAAAGGAGGTCAGCCCGGACTGGGATTCAACTTATATGCAGGAAGTTCCTATGGAACAACAAAGCAGTGAGTGGAGCTTTTTAAATTTATATAAACACTTTGCTTAACTTAAGACTATATATAATAATAATAAAAATGGGGTAGAAAACCCTTACCATGGGGGTGGTTTGTCTGTCTGAGGATCTCTGAGACGGCAGGAGGAGAAACTACTTTCGCTTTTGGGAAACTGTAATTATAATTAAGAAGCCTCTTTTTTTAACTTTTAAGTTTCTATTTGTGTGCCAGACAGCAGCATTTCTGGGGAACTGCTAAGCCTGAACAAAAGAGAGAGATATTTTTAATGGTAATTTTCATTTTATCTTATTTTGTTGGAGAAGAGCAGAGAGGAGAAAGAGGATTACTTTACCCACCCCACACCCCCACCCCAGTTTCCTGTCTTCTATTTTTTTACTTTTTGTGACAGTCTGAGATTGGATTGTGGGACTGAGAGGGTTTTAACTCCTTTTTCCTTTTTTTGTGGTGACGGACTTGGGTTTTCTTTTTTATATATATTATTGATACTCTTCTTCTCTCCTGGTTATTTTTATTTTTTATGGACTGGTTGTTCTGCAAACTGGACTAAGTTATTTTTGTTTTGGTACTCTTTCCTTCCTCTATTTATGTTTGGCAACCCTGTTGCTGTATTTCAGTCATAAAACTTCACAGTGGATTGGCTAAGCAAGTGGCAGAAGAACTATTTATTGTTTTTCCTGTTTCATCATTTTATTATTTGGATCTAAATTGGATTATAATTTCCCTGCTTTGACACTGTGGTGGATTGGCCAAACAAGTGGCAGAAGAATAAAATTTTGTTAATTTTTTTATTACTTTTTTATTAAAAATTGCATATATCTGTGGATTATAATTTTCTCTCTCTCGTTGTTGTTTACCTGCTACATTGCATTGGCCAAACAAGAGGCAGAAAGCATATAATTGGTGTCCATTCTTAGTATTGGTGGGCGACATCTAGTGGTGAGGAATAAAATAACATCTAAAATAATAGAAGTATAATGGAGAAGACACAGAAAAATGTTGGAGAAGGGGGAACACCATTGGAGAGGAGGGGATCGAAACAAGAAAGTGAATATATAGGAGATATTTTTAGAATGTTTGCAGAAATTAAAAAAGACATCAAACAAAGTGAAAAAATGGAGACTAGATTGGAATGGATGGATAAAAATTTTGATATGACTGTCAATGAATTGAAAGGTCAGATGAGGGAGATAACTAAAAGAACACAGAGTTTAGAAGAAGGAATGAAGCGAACGAAACAAGAAGTAAGAGATATGAAAAAGGAGGAAGAGAAAGTCAAAGAAGAAGTTTCAGAAATTAATAATACTCAGGAAGAACTGTGTGATGTGATTGCTATGAATGAACTGAGGCAAAGAGAAATGAACTTGAGGTTTAGATCAGTCCCAGGAGTACAAGGAGAAAACATCTTGGAGAAATTAACAATGGAAATTGCATAACGGTTAAATATGGAATAAGAGGTTAAGAAGATGATACAGAATGCATTTAGGATTAGAACAAAGACTACTAAAGCACATAAATTTCCAGGAAATTGATTGATTATATTCAAACATAGAGAGATGAGAAATTTGATTCTGCAGAAAAATAGAGAAAAAAGATTATGCATTGATGGAGTATTTATGATCATTTTTAAAGACGTCCCACTTCGGTTGTTGAAAAAATGTGACCAATATAAACCACTGACACAGATGCTAAGGAAAAATGGAATTGAATTTAAATGGGAATTTCTGGAAGGAATTCTGTTTTATTACAAAAAAAGAAATTTAAATTTAAAAATGTAGGTGAAACGCACAAATTCCTGAGGATATACAAAGAGTTGGGAAAAGGAGATGAAGCAGCAGCAGCAGGACCAGCAGGTCCGGAAGAGGAAGATAAAGATAGTATTGAAGGAGTATTGTATTGAAGGGAGGAGGAGGACGAGTTTAAAGACTTTTATTCTTTCACTTTTAAAGAGAACTTAAAATGGCAATGAAATTATGGACTTGGAATGTTAATGGCATAAATGACAAAAAGAAAAGGAACAAAATTGAACATTCCCCAAAGAATTTTTTTGGGATATTATTTGTTTACAAGAGACACATGTGGCTAGGAAACAGAAGAGTACTGATTAATAAAAAACTGGGAAATGAATTTAGACAAGAGCAAGAAGAGGGGAGTGGTTTTGTATATAAAAAATAAATTTGAAGCTCAGCAAATCTTCAAATATGAAGAAGGCAGGATAATAGCAGCGAGAAACTGATAATTGTCAGGTGGCAAGGCGAGAAACTGATAACATCAAAGAATATAGACCTTTTTCAGAATGGAATAAAAAAGATCTGGAAGGATGAAATTATCATTTTGGGGAAGGATTTCTGCTATTAAAATGAATGTGCTGCCAAAGATGTTATTTTTGTTTCAATCAATTCCAATAATCAAGGGGGCAGCAATTTTAAAGAGTGGCAAAAGGCAGAGGAAGAAACCAAGAATTCAATATAAGTTGTTAAGAGATGTTAAAGAAAGAGGGGGTTTCGCCCTGCCAGACTTGAAACTGTACTATGAAGCATCTTGCCTCTGTTGGTTAAAGGAATTGATGTTGTTAGAAAATACAGATTTGTTGGATTTGGAAGGTTATGAAAATAGATTTGGTTGGCACACGTGTTTATGGTATAATAAGACAAAAGTCCATAAAGGATTTGGAAACCATATATTCCGAAGATCTCTTTTTGAAATATGGGATAGGTATAAAAACCTATTAGAACGTAAAACACCGCAGTGGTTGTCTCCATTAGAAGCAATGAGTGTGGAAAAAAAGATAAATATGAGTATAAACCGGGTTACATATGAAAAATTAATACAAAAGGAAGTAAATGGAAAATGAAACTTTATGAAGAGGTTAAAGGATATGTGAATGATTGGCTGCACTACCGCCAAGTTAATGAAATGTTTAAACAGGATTTTAGGGGGAAAGTATTTGATGATAATAAATCAAAATTTGAAATAGAGGTATTGAAAAATAAGTATAAAATTTTGTCTAAAACATATAAATTGCTGCTTGAATGGCACTTGAAAGATGAGGAGGTAAAGTTGGTTATGATACGTTGGGCCAAAGACTTTGAATATAATATATAATTGAAAGATTGGGAAAAACTATGGAAAGAAGGATTAAAATTTACTGCATGCAATGCTTTAAAAGAAAATGTGATGAAAATGATGTTGAGGTGGTATATTACCCCTGTAAAATTAGGTAAAAAGTATAAAGTAAGTAATAAATGTTGGAAATGTAAAGAAAAGGAAGGAACTTTTTATCCCATGTGGTGGGAAAGTAAAAAAGTGAAAAACCTCTGGGAAATGATATATAATGAGATGAAAAAGATGTTGAAATATACATTTATTAGGAAACCAGAAGCATTTTTACTGGCATTGTAGAAGATGATATAAATAGACAGGATTGTAAGTTGTTTTTATATTCAATGACAGCAGCAAGAATATTATTGGCACAAAAAAAGAACTACTGACGAAAGAAGAATGGAAGATGAAGTTGATGGACTACGCAGAATTAGATAAATTTACAGGAAGGTTTCGAAACCTGGGGGATCAGAGATTCTTAGAAGACTGGAGTAAATATATGAATTATTTTGAAAAGTAATTGTGATGAATAGATTACGCTAGTAGGACTGCAAGAAGTTTTGTAAAGTGGATTATTTGAAATACTTCAAGAAAGCTTATGAAGAGAAATATAGTTAAGGACAATTAAATGTAGGTAATATAGAAATTAAGAAATGCAGAATAAGTGATAAAGAATGGAAAATCATCAGAGGTGTTGACGGAAGTCTACAATATTGTATAAAATTGAGAAGATATGTTGTATGACTGTTGAAACAAATATATTTAAAAAATCAATAAAAATGTGTGTGTGTGTGTGTGTGTGTGTATGAAAATTACTCACAATATGACAAAAATTACTGAAAATTTTTAGGACAGACTCCATGGCTTCTATCAGCTTCTGGAACCGTTCATCTTCAAGAGCAAACCGGTGCCCAAAAGCCACAGCACATATCACGTTGGAGACTGAAGTAGCGATGGGCATGGAGGGGTCAAGTGGTTGTCCTGCAAAATAAGGTTATTCTAATGTTAGTTCAGCTGCTCCTGTTCATATTGAGAGTGGGATTTCATCGTGGCCATGAGAAACTGCCAGGATATCCATTAGGAACCAAGAAAAACATATCACATTCCTTTCTAAAATGGACAGAGGTAGTACACAAATATATCTCCATATGCCAGCTCAGCACCATCACTTAGCATCACATACCCTTTGAACGTGCAAAAACCTCCATGAGCTGATGAGCCTCCTCTGCTATTTGGTGCTCCATGCCTTTCTTCCCCAGTCCCAGCTTCCGCATAGTAACTACACCAAAGTGTCTCTGTTGCCTCCAGGTGTGACCATTTGATAATACAATACCTATGGAAAATCAGTGAGAAATTATTATTTACAGATATCAATGTAAAAAGTTGCCATCTCAGAACAAACAATGATTCATGCCTTTGCATGTAAGAGCTGCTTAGTCTCTCTACAGCAAAGAATTGCAAGATGATGCAGAAAGGATTCTGGGTACAAATTGGATGGAATTTAGAGGGAAATTCCATCAAGCTTCTAGTGACACTATTGGGAAAATTGGAAGTGGTGGAAACGGAAATCCTTTCCCCCCCCCCTCTTGCTAAATTTTCCTACAGGAAATGGGATCGCAAAAAATCAAAATGGGTGTAAAATAATGAATATACAACAAGTAAATAACTGCATTATGAAATATACTCGGAATCGAGAGTGGATTTCATGCCCTTTATTCAGCTCATAGTGGTGAGGAGGAATGAAAGTTCCCCCAAAATATCTGCTTTATATACATTATTTACACAATGGGCTGCACCTGATTGGCTAATTCCGGGATTCTCCTGTAGGCCAATCAGGTTGTGGATTCACTTCCACCTGGAGCTGGATTGGGTGGCTCCTGCGGACCAATCAGACTGCTGCATTGTTCTAGGACCAATCAGACTGCTGCATTTTTGGATCCTATTGTTCTAAGACCAATCAGACTGCTGCATTTTGGATCCTATTCAACTCAGTACATAACAGATTATTTTTTAAATATATGACAATAGCAGAAACTTTCGTGTTTAAATAAAAATGAATGATTTATTGTTTTTAAACATGGAGTAATGGTTGGAATTGGGGGGGAGACAGAGATAAAGTCATCATACAAGATTGGAAGAGGACTATTCTTGACACTTAGTGATGTCTGGGGCTGACGATGTTCACCTAGCAGAACAAGGAACAGCTGGATATTATCCTGGAAAACAGTTGGATATCACACTGGAATGAACACCTAAAATATTATGAATAAATATAATTTACAGACAAAGAATCAGAAGTTGTCTTTATTTAGTTCTCTCTTTCACTCTTCACATTTTAATTATTATTTTCGTCTTCTTTTAGCTATTTTGCTTTTGCTTATGTTTTGTTTTGTTTTGCGATGTCCTCTGCCCTGGGTTAATGAGGGTACACACATGAAGGTGATAGCTGGCCTGTGTGAGAGGCAGAGAAGGAAAGATGTGGGTGGGAGACTGGGGGAAGAAAGGGAAGTACCCAGGTGAGAGCTGGGAGGGTCCACTCCCTTCTGTGTGAGACAAGAGTTAAGATCTACCTTTGAGAGAGGGCTTGGCATTCCTCTGTCTCTCTCTCTTCCTTTTTTGTTTTTGTTATTTATTTAGATTAGTTAGTATGCTGAAAAGCTTCAACAAACAAACAAACAAACAAACAAACAAACAAACTCAATTCAGCCAATTTTGCCACACTGTTTTTAAGGATATAATCATAGAATCATAGAGTTGGAATAGACCACAAGGGCCATCGAGTCCAACCCCCTGCCAAGCAGGAAACACCATCAGAGCACTCCTGACATATGGTTGTCAAGCCTCTGCTTAAAGACCTCCAAAGAAGGAGACTCCACCACACTCCTTGGCAGCAAATTCCACTGTCAAACAGCTCTTACTGTCAGGAAGTTCTTCCTAATGTTTAGGTGGAATCTTCTTTCTTGTAGTTTGGATCCATTGCTCCGTGTCCGTTGACATCACACATGACATCATGTGTGATGTCAACCAGTTACTACTTCTACTGGTCCTGCCAGACGGGGCTTTTATTGAGGGTGCATTCTGCACCATATTCTTGACAAGACTGTAGTGCATCAATGGTGGGTGTGGTTTATATTCTGGCCAATACCATATTATTATTATTGTAATTGTCAAACCTGTGTTGTTGAACGTAATCCTTTCAACCGAGTGGTGGCTTCCGATTGGTTGCAGGAGCTTCCTGCACTCAAGTGGAGGCTGCGTTAGACTACCAAATTCGGCTTACTGAATTCGGCTACCAAAAAACATTAAAAAGAAATGAGCATTTACTTCCAAGGTTTTTGACGTTTGGGAGCCGAAAAGTTCCAAAATGGAGGCATTCGAGATCTGAGGTTTGACTGTATTTATTATTACAATTATATCCCACTCATCCTCCCAGAGGAACCGAGGGCTGAAAAGAAGCAAAACTGAGAAAGATTTCAACAGAAAAGCTTATTGGAAGGGATATATTGATCTCAAGTTTTATAGGCTCTTTGTTCAACCAGCACCTTGAACTTAGCTAATTGTCAGCCCGTGGCATAACATGCTGGCTATGTCCTGCCCCCATGAGCAGTCAAGCCACTGCACTTTTTGCCAGATGCTGCTTCAAGGGCAGCCTCAAATGCAGCACATTGCTATAATCAGCCTGGAGGTAACCAGCACATGGATGACAGTAGTTAGGCTATCCTGATCCAGAAACTACTTTCGCTGTCTTACTAGCCAAAGCTGCCTTGCTGGCTGAAGCTGGTAGAAGGCATTAAGGTCACTGGGCCTCTAGCAGCCAAGATTTATCCAGGAGCACCCCTAGTCTTTGAACCTGTTCTCTCAGGGAGAGTTCAACCCCATCCATAGCAGTAAACTGAACAATTGTCTAGACTCCGCCCACCATACCTCCATGTTACCAGGATACAGACTCACTTTATTGGCCCTCATCCAGCCTGCCACCTCATCCAGCCAATGCAGGCAGCAGTCTCCAAAAGTCATCTGGTATTTAATATGGGTATCTTTCCCTCTTATGGAATTGCCACTTCTTTTAACCTGTGCCTTGGCAAGGTACCAATCTGATGTAGGCGTCAAGACCTTCAGCAGAAAGAACTCAGAGTTCAAGCTCTTCATCCAGCACTGAGGGCCAGGATAGTAAATGCATTACAACAGGCAACAAACTTCTACCTGCAGTTGAATCTTGCTAGTTGCAATCCATCAGGGTTCCAACTTGAATAAAATATCAGGAAGGGTGTAGGAGTGCAAATATCCAGAGTGTGGGGTCAGGTGGGATTACTATGAGGAATTATAAAATATGCATCAAGCCACTGTGTCCATGATGAATGCATTGTGTTGACTGGGTTTGATACATTGACAATAATTTCTGATCAAATCCCACAACCGCCTGCATCTCTGGCTATTTCCTCTACTGTTCCTCTACTGCCCATTTCTCTCTCTTCACAAGTCACATACACAGCCCAGTTGCTTAGACAGGCAGGCTCCTGGATCATCAAAGACAGTGGGCAAACTTCTTTGATGTAGGTTTTCTGATATGTTAATCTTAGGATGTTAATCTTAGGGCCCGGAAACAGGTTTCACATAAAGGTGATAATGATCGCTGTCCTCCTGGCCATCCTTCTTATCATGTATATTGCTTGTTTATCACCTCCCGGGGTTGCCAAATGTACTCCTTTGTAGTTCTGTGTGCTTAATTAGTTTTGGTAGTTTAACTTTTCCCCACGTGGGGTTTGTTGAAATGTTCAGAAGAAATATGATTGGTTCTTACGAACACTCTGTAAAAGTTCTTTTGTGAATAAAATGAGCTGGGCCGAGGAGTGGAGGCATGGAGAGATTATTATGCACACCCTTCCCAGAATCTTGCTGGTTCAAGCCTCTGTGTGTATTCTTATTAATCAGAGTTCAATCCTTTCTTACTTTGAGAACGCCTCTAAGGGGGCAAGTGAGTCCCACACTTAGGGATCTGCAGAGTCTTCGCAGCTTGCGTAAACAGGCCTCAGCAACTCAGCATTTGGCTAATCTATGTTTATTCACATATAAACACACACGGAGCCACTGCAACTTGGCTCCCTCTCTCTCTAGCATCAGACAGCAAGGAGAATGAACAAAGGACAATAGTCCCACTTCACAGAACACAGTAACACAAACATCCTTTCTCCGTCACTTCCCACTCTGGAGTCAAAACATACACCGTCATGTGAAAGACAAACAATCCCATGACTGCAATCATGGATCAGGAATTCTAACATCCTCCCCCAATTCAGTGCACTGTGTTGCAGTCATCAGTGTAACTGCAGCAACCATACAGATGTCATTACACACAGTATACCCCTGTATCACCTGTTCCACCCTTGGAACAACCTGCAACTGGATTGGCCTTGGTCCTTACCATCTTGCACTTCTGACTATCAGGAAGTCTCGCACCTGGCTTTGTTGGGACTAGAACCCTAGCCACGTTCCTCTCTGAGGAATCAGTGTTGGCACACACGGCCTCTGGACGTGGTCCAGCTTCCTTCTCCAAGGAAACAGTGTCTACCCTTACAGCCTTTGGGCGTGGTTTCCCGTCCCTTGAGGACAAACCTTGTGCCCCTTTCAAGACTACAGATTCCTAGACCTGCGTCGAGCCACTAACCACAGCTAAATCTGCAACAGCTGTGTTAGCAAACTCCTGAGCATACCTGGTGGGCATCAGACGGCTATAAATCAAGCCTTCTTCTGCCGGCCTTAATTGCCTGGCAAGAACTTCAAAGCCTCTTGCCTTCTTCTGTGCACGAGCCGCTGGCTTTGGCACAAAACAGTCCGGCCTGCCTTTACTTTCATTTTCAAGCACAGGCTTTATTCACAGTCTGTCTCCTCACAGCTTTTTTCCCTTCCATCTCTGAAGAGGCTTGCCTCACACTGAAGAGGGGCACTGAAGAGACCTCAGCCCCTAGCTGTTCGCTCCTAGGTAACCCATTTCCTGCAGTGCAACAGTAATAGAGAAACTTTGTTCTGGACAGCCCTTTAAATGTTTTCTCTTGGGAAAATACCAGTAGAAATTCTTATTCTTCACTACTTACCCTTTCCTTTTACCATGTTCCTAAGGAAAGAAGTCTCTGGTCGCTCGTCCAATTCTTCAGAGTGGTCAATGAGCGCTTCTTTCACTACTTGGAATCCAGACAGTACTACAATGGGTAGATGTCCTATCCATAGGGTGAAAATATTTCCATATTGCTTTCCCAGCTACCATTTGGGTCAAAAGAGAGGAGAGGAATGATGGATTCAAAAAACACAGTTGGATATTTCAACTTAATACGAGAGCTTCAGTCTCCCTCACCTCTGCAGCTTCTCACTATGTGCAGTTCTCTTCCTATCATCTCTCCCCCCTCCTCCCCCTCCCTCCCTCCATTTCAACCCTCACAGAACTCTAGCCCAATGGTTGCCATTAATTAGATTTTGAATTGATTTTAGAATGGATTGATTTTAGAATGCTGTGTTGCTTTTATTGTTGTTAGCTGCTCTGAGCCTGGCTTCAGCTGGGTAGGGCGGGATATAAATACAATTCAATTTATTATTTATTTATTTATTTATTTATTTATTTATTTAACTCGCTGCCGTCTAATAATAATAATAATAATAATTTTTATTTATATCCCGCCCTCCCCAGCCGAAGCCGGGCTCAGGGCGGCTAACAACAGTCAAATAGTCAAACAGTCAAATTCTAAAAACATTCTAAAAACATTTCATTATAAAAATTAATTAAAATCAAATTGTTGGCAACCGATTAGGCAAAATTCTGTGCAGGTTGCCAGAGGAGGGAGTCAGGCTGCGCCCTGACCAAAGGCCTGGTGGAACAACTCTGTCTTGCAGGCCCTGCGGAAAGATGTCAGGTCCCGCAGGGCCCTAGTCTCTTGTGACAGAGCATTCCACCAGATTGGAGCCGCCGCCGAGAAGGCCCTGGCTCTAGTTGAGGCCAGCCTAACCTCTCTGAGGCCTGGGACCTTGAGGATGTTGTTATTTGCAGACCGTAGGTTTCTCTGTGGGGCATACCAGGAGAGGCGGTCCCGTAGGTACGAGGGTCCTAGGCCGTATAGGGCTTTAAAGGTTAAAACCAGCACCTTAAACCTGATCCTGTACTCCACCGGGAGCCAGTGCAGCTGGTATAGTACCGGATGAATGTGATCTCGCAGTGAAGACCCCATAAGGAGTCTCGCCGCGGCATTCTGCACCCGCTGGAGTTTCTGGGTCAGTTTCAAGGGCAGCCCCACGTAGAGCGAGTTACAATAATCCAGTCTGGAGGTGACCGTCGCATGGATCACAGTGGCTAGATCAGGGCGAGAGAGATAAGGGGCTAACTGCTTAGCTTGGCGGAGATGAAAAAATGCCGCCTTTGTTATAGCTGTAATCTGCGCCTCCATAGAGAGGGAGGTATCGAAGATTACACCCAAACTCTTAACGGACGGTGCTGGCACTAATTGCACCCCCGCAAGAGATGGGAGTTGCCCCCTCGATCCCATATCGTCCCGCCCCAGCCAGAGGACCTCTGTCTTCGAAGGATTTAACTTCAACCGGCTCCCACGTAACCATCCAGCCACAGCTTCCAGACATCTGGTCAGTGTGTCTGGGGCCGAGTCAGGATGGCCATCCATCAACAGATAGAGTTGGGTGTCATCAGCATACTGATGGCAACCCAGCCCAAAACTCCGGACAAGCTGGGCGAGGGGGTGCATAAAGATGTTAAAAAGCATTGGGGAGAGAATCGCACCCTGAGGCACTCCACACACCAAGGAGTGACGCGATGACAATTCCCCCCCAAGCGCCACCCTCTGTCTATGTTGCCTCGGCCTAGGATCAGAGCAGCAGAGGCACTTCATAGTGATTAGCCCTCCTGTACCAGAATAGGACCTTGTCACAATTATTTTGTGTGCAGGGATGTGGAAACTGTAGCCCACCAGATGCTTTTGAACTGCAACTCCCATCATTGTTGACTGTTGGCCATGGTCGTTGGGGCAGATGGGCATCATAGTCGAAAACATCTGGTGGGTAACAGGTTGCCATAGGCTGGGCTAGAGCACTGGGTCAGGTTTCAGGCAAAATGTCAGGTAGCACCCGGATGTATAGCAACACAATGGAAAAAGTTCCACAATTTTTGTGGTTTCCTAAAATATGGAAACCCTAGTTTACTGCAGAGAACCATTAAGAATGTGGTATTTAAATTGTTTTTTTAATAAGTGCTTCTAGTTGGAGTAAACACGATGAAAATGTCCCCAGGCTTCAGAAATTGAATAGCAAATGCAGGTTAGCACCTGTTGAGAGGCTGCCATGAATGAATGCTGAGGACCTATGTGGTCAGTCTATTTTTTGTAATAATATTCTTTTTCCCATATAGAAAGTTACATTTGTTACTCAACAATTATATTCCAATTCAACAAAACAAGTGATTTCCCACTCACCCAATATCAATGTTTATAACTTGAATTACATACAATTGCATTTTAAAGTTCCATCTTATCTAATTTCATCCTCTCTAACATGTTTCTTAATATATTCTGCTGTTTTCTTACACTTCAAACCCCACTGTGGTCTTTGCATATGGGAAATAACTTTTTATATAGACTGTTAAGGTTTTCCAATCTTCTTTAAAAGATTCTAAATTTGTATCTTTTATCAATTTTTGCCATCTCTGCATATTCCAAGATTTTCACAAACATTCTTCCTTTGAGGGTGTTCTCTCCTCCTTCCTCAGTTTAACATTATACAATAAATATTTTTGATCAGTAGTTTTTAATGCACATTTTAAACTTTTTTATGGTTTTGTGCTTTTCAGTATTAATAATAATATCCTTTATATTATTACTATTATTTGTATTGCTTACAGTTTCTGACATCAGAGGCTTATGACATTTACCATTTTAACCCATGCTATTATTTAAGTTTAAATATCATAATTGTTGGGGGAAATAGATAATTGCTGACATCAGACTGAGTTATTACTAAGCAATAAGTACCTGAACGAGAGTATTTTCATGAATCTTCAATCCAAACCTCCATATGGCTCCAACGAGAGGAAGCTGGAGAGGACCTGGAGGATAATGCCTGTTTGACCAGAGCAGTTTCAGGTAGTGCAGAATCAGAAGAGCCACCAGCAGAGCAATCAAAAGTGCCCGTATCTCCATCCTTCTCTTGTTGTCTCTTTCTCCTTAATTCTTTCTAGGTTGCCTGGTCAGGTTCAACTCTCTTTCTCCAAGGAGTTTTTGCTTTCCTGAAAGACATCAGCAGTACTCTCTGTTTTTATATGCTCAGTTATTGAAAACAAATAAGCAATAAGGGGTGTGACACCATTTGCAAGTAGCCTTGGAACGTGACTGCAAGTCATGTAATACAATTGAACACTATAATCAGTCTTATATGGGTCACGTAAATGAGAGGGTGCTTGATCTATATAAATTGTAATTAGAATCCAAGCTATCTTAAGACTAATTTCGTGACACAAATATTTGTACCAAATGTTCATTAAATAAATGAACAAGAATTTTGTACCAAATGTTCATTAAATAAAAAATGAATATGAAACCCAGACCCTTAGGAAAAGCAAAGTGTGCATGTGTACATTCTCTCATTCTGATTCCTTTTTGGTTCTCTCTCTCTCTCTCTCTCTCTCTCTCTCTCTCTCTCTCTCTCTTGGAGGGGGCTCATCTGGGAGAGTGGGGACCAACTCAAATGCATGGTTCCCACCACACTAAATTAACTAATTCATATATTCCCTCCTTATTCAAAATTCCAAATGTGCTCATTGGCTTTAAAAAGTTGGTGATTCACTGCTTGAAGTGGAAGAGTAACACCCCTGAATAATTTCACTCCTTATAAATATTTGTTCTTGCTTTATTCCTGATTTACACAAAGATTCTGAATCTTCTTTATTTGTCAAGGTTTCTATCTCTAAACAGGGAAGAAAATGCTGAGAGATAGAAGCCTAGAGAAACAATGGGTAAGAGCATAAGTGCCAACTTCTATTTGATCCCCCTTCTCCACCCATGTTGACAACTATTGGGTGTGTAGAAGGCTGAGAGGCTCTTCTTCCTCCTGCAGTGGAGGGGAAGGGTGGAAGAAGCAGTTTTGATGACCTAGAAAGTCAAGGAGTGGTCAAGGAGAATTAACAGAGACACATTTCTCTGCTTCTTAGATACTGACTTAGAGCAGAAATATTCGTACTGTAATCACTCTGTGAAAGCAATGTATCATCCGAACTGCCTACATGCTGTGCTGACCCCAGTGGGTCTCTACTTTTGGTTCTAGGCATTCACCTGGGTCCCAGTGAATTGTAGAATTATAGAATTGGAGGGGATCCTGAGGGCCACCATGTCCCACCCCATGCAATGCAGAAATCTCAGCTAAAGCATCCATGACAGATGGCCATCCAACTTCTGCTTAAATACCTCCGAGGAAGGAGAGTCCACAATCTTCCAATGGAGACCATTCCACTGTCAAACAGCTCTTACTGTCAGAAAGTTTTTCATATATTTATTTCTGAATCTTTTTTTTTTTTTTTTTTGTAACATGAAACCGCTGATTTGAGTCCTACCCTAGACACATCAAAGACACAATTCAGTTCATGGGGTCCAAGGGGTCATGAAGAGTTGGATACGACTAAACAACAACAACAAAGATAACTCTTAGTAGAATAATTAGAATATTAGAAGAAGCAAGGCCTGCTCACAGGTGCCAGGCCACAGCAACTCTTTTCAGTAAGTCTTTTTTTTTTTTTTAAAGATATTTATTAAAGTTTCAAAAGTTATACAAAAAGAAAAAACAATAATACAAACAAAACACAAACAAAACAAGTATAATTTCAGTCCCTTATTTTCTTATAACTTACTTCCCCGACCTCCTCATACCTCCCCTTTCTGTATTCCAATTTCTAATTCATTAGTTCAGCAAATCCTCTCCCTTAATTTTTGTTTAATTTTTTACCTTTCTTTTCTTTTTACTTAATCATTACAGCTGAAAACCACTTAGTTTCTAAAATCAACATCATTCTAACATTCATTAATTTTGCAATGTTTCCTGAGATAGTCTTTAAATTTCTTCCAATCTTCTTCCGCCGTCTCTCTTCCCTGGTCACGGATTCTGCCGGTCATTTCTGCCAGTCCCATATAGTCTATCACCTTCATCTGCCATTCTTCCACGGTGGGTAAATCTTGTGTCTTCCAGTACTTTGCAATGAGTATTCTTGCTGCTGTTGTAGCATACATAAAGAATGTTCTATCCTTCTTTGGCAGCAATTGGCCGACCATACCCAGGAGAAAAGCCTCTGGTTTCTTCAAAAATGTATATTTAAATACCTTTTTCATTTCATTATATATCATTTCCCAGAAAGCCTTAATCCTTGGGAAAATCCAGCTGGGAAAGGAGTCAGTGCTTTATCTCTCATTAACATTCTGAACTTGCTCCTCAGGCTTCCTGTCATGCCTTCTTGCTCTTTGAAGTCACACAGAATGATTGGTGCTGATATTATTCTTTTAATTCCTGGCAATTGAGCTGTAACATATGTCTATGATTAAATCATAATTTCAAAAAGGTTTTTACACGCTTCTGCTGATGAGGAATCGACATCCTGATCCACTTGGGGGATTCTGAACCTATTGTGATTCAATCACAGGAGTGACAGAAGCAGCAAGTCCTGCAACAAAATTTGGGATCTTTGGGGCTTATTTATGTAAGATCATGCTCACAGTACACTCATTGGAATTAATGAAAGTAAATTAGTCATGTCAGGCAATTTCATCATGTCTGCTCTTAAGCAGGATTATGCTCTCTAGAATCCTCCCACATGTACTTTCTACATGGTGCAATATGGTTAGCTGTTACTATGCTGTACACAAACACATACACACACACCTCTTTTCTACTCCCCTCAGTTTACTTGCTCTGGCCTCCCATTAGTTTACAAATTCTGCCCCCCTGTTGATTTCAACCAGTGAGAGTTACTCTTGAAACCCATCATGACAATAAATGTAATTACCAATTACCGTATATTGTCCTGTATAGTGTCTCCCTATAGCCAGTGTGGTGTAGTGGTTAAGAGTAGTAGTCACGTAATCTGGGTAACCGGGTTCGCGTCTCCGCTCCTCCACATGCAGCTGCTGGGTGACCTTGGGCCAGTCACACTTCTTTGAAGTCTCTCAGCCCCACTCACCTCACAGAGTGTTTGTTGTGGGGGAGGAAGGGAAAGGAGAATGTTAGCCGCTTTGAGACTCCTGAAGGGGAGTGAAAGGCGGGATATCAAATCCAAACTCTTCTTCTTCTTCTTCCCTGCTTATTTAACTTATATGTAGAATTCATCATGCAAAAGGCTGGGCTGGATGAATCCCAAGCCGGAATTAAGATTGCCAGAAGAAATATCAACAACCTCAGATATGCAGATGACACAACCTTGATGGCAGAAAGTGAAGCTCAACATCAAAAAAATGAAGATCATGGCCACTGCGCCCATCACCTCCTCGCAAATAGTAGGGGAAGAAATGGAGGCAGTGAGAGATTTTACCTTCTTGGGCTCCATGATCACTGCAGATGGTGACAGCAGCCACAAAATTAAAAGACGCCTGCTTCTTGGGAGAAAAGCAATGGCAAACCTAGACAGCATCTTAAAAAGCAAAGACCTTGCCAACAAAGGCAGTATACTTAAAGCTATGGTTTTCCCAGTAGTGATGTATGGAAGTGAGAGCTGGACCATCAAGAAAGCTGATTGCTGAAGAATTGATGCTTTTGAATTATGGTGCTGGAGGAGGCTCTTGAGAGTCCCATGGACTGCAAGAATGGACTCCATTCTTAAGGAAATCAGGCCTGAATGCTCACTGGAAGGACAGAGCCTGAAGCTGAGGCTCCAATACTTTGGCCACCTCATGAGAAGAGAAGACTCCCTGGAAAAGACCCTGATGTTGGGAAAGATGGAGAGCACAAGGAGAAGGGGACGACAGAGGACGAGATGGTTGGACAGTGTTGTCGAAGGTACCAGCATGAGTTTGACCAAACTGCGGCAGGCAGTGGAAGACAGGAGTGCCTGGCGTGCTCTGGTCCATGAGGTCACGAAGAGTTGGACACAACTAAACGACTAAACAACAACAACAAGAAGATAACTCTTATTACAATAATTAGAATATTAGAAGAAGCAAGGCCTGCTCACAGGTGCCAGGCCACAGCAACTCTTTTCAGTAAGTCTTGCCCCCATGAGGCAGTTGTGGAGGGTGAACGTCCCCTCCTTCCCACATGTGATGGCCTGGGATTCCGATTCTGAGAGTGAACCGGAGGAATCCCAGCCGGCACAGGAGTCCCCGCCACCAGGGCCGGCTGAACTGGGGCAGAGCCTTGATTCTGAGGAGCCTGCACCTGTGCCGGATCCTCAGGAGCAGGCACCAGGTGAATCCATTCTGGCCCCAGAGGTGGTTGAGGACTCAGTGCCTACAGGTGAGTCTCCCCCTGGGCCCAGTAACCCTTCACCCTCTCCTGAACTGCAGAGGCTTAGGGCAGAGAGGCGAAGGGAACTGGTTTCTCCCAGGAGGAGTGCTCGCCTTAAGGCCAGGAGAGGTGGGGCTCCTGGGGGCCGGGACCGCACCTGGCCTTAGAGAAGATAAAGGCCAGTCAGGCTGGTCCCAGGTTGCGGGAGCAACGTCGTCATTGAAGAGCTGTTTCGGCCAGCATCCAGTCCTGTTCCTCCAGTGTTCCTGTTCCCCGCCCGGCTTCCTGCTTCTGATCTTCGAGTGTTCCTGTCCCTGCCCGGCTCCCTGCTTCGGACCTCGCCTCGCACCTTGAGAACTATTTCCAGGCTAGTGACTCAGGACTGAACTTTGACTACGGTAACAGTTACCTTCCCCCCGGGACCAGCACAGTTTGCTCCCGCCACATCCGCACTCCCCCTTCGTTGGGATACATTCGGGAAGGGTCAGAGGCCATGGCTGACCAGGCAGCTGCGCCCAGGAGAACCAGGCCTTGACCCACACCGTTCAGCAGCTAAGCGATGTGGTTGCAGCGCTTCAGCAGCGGTTGGATGCCTTTCCAGATCTTGGGGCCCACGACCCAGCTCCAGGCAAGTACCCAGTGGCCTTGCCAGAGAAATTTGATGGGGCCCTGGCCAGCTTTCCCATGTTCCTCGCCCAGGCCAAGTTGTATATTCAGGGGCGAGCCCGGAACTTCCCTGACGACCGCACCAAGGTGCACTTTTTGATCAGTTTGTTAAAGGACCAGGCGGCCAAGTGGGCT